CAAAGTATTACAGAGAAAAAAAAATCTTCAAGAGCCTAGTATTTTTTTTTTCTTTTCTCTAAACTATGATTTTCTTCCTCTAAGATTGGATTATCAATTGAGGAGAATAGACATGTATTTATAGAGGGGAAGGAGGTGGAATCAAGGAGGTGGATGTAGAAAATTTCATTCTAACTTCTCCTCCTCCTTCGACTTTCCAAGTGGAGAAGAGAAAGCCAATTTACCATCTTCTTTTGCTAAGAAATGAATTTTTTAGTCAAGAAGAAATATGACTTTACCCATTCCACTTAAAGTCATATTTGTAATCCTTCTATCCTTCAACTTTGACTTTTGAGAAAATTACCTAACAATCATATGGCCTTGTTTTGCATATAAGAAAATCCAGAAAACGTATAGTGATTGATGAAGTCGGAATTTAAGAAATTCTCGTGTAGAGCCCTTCAAGAAAGAAGACAAGATTTAGAAGAATTTAGAACATTCCATTCGTAAGATTTTAATTTTCTCTCGCTTAACGTTATGGTGAATATTCGAAAAAAACAATGAACATGAAAGTGGTCTGAAAGTGATGAGAGGTGTCGTGTGGTGAGCATAATACAATCATTAATTGTGTTAGACGTACATTACCATTTACAGAGTTGTTTACATACAGAAGATGTGGCGAGGTTTGGTTGTTTCATAATCTCATAAATCAAATTAAAAAAATCCCATACTTTGTTTTTGACACCATATCAATGTGTAAAAGATTATGTAGATGATGATGTATAATAAATATTTTCATACGATCATCATATAGATTCCATCAAATGAAAAACATGTTTGGTTGGTCAATCGAGACTTTTATAGATTCAATTAAAATTTTGTAGAAGTTTCTAAGTCTTTTGGTATTCAAATTGTTAATGACATTTAAAAACTTTTATAAAAATCTCTAGGGTACTAATTTTTAAGTGGAACGAACTAAAATAAAATTTTAAAAATTGTCTCATTCATTCCAAGATTTTGGGAGATTTTCACCAAAAAAAAAAAAAAAAAAAGAATATGTATTTTTTGTTTCTTTCAATGTTTCTCTTTTCTTTTCATGTCTATGAATATTAGGGTTGTTTGATAGGCACTTTTTTCCATGGAAAATGGAATTGAAGTTTCATTTCTTACTTTTGTCATGTTAGATAGCCAAAAATTTTCAAATATTTTCCTCCCACCCCCCACATGTCCCATTTTTCATTGTTTTTGATGAATTGGTTTTCCCAGCACTTTGGTGGGAAAATGGTTTCCTGCTTCTTTTTCTATTTTTATTTTTTTTTGTAATGAAAACAAATTTTATGGACAATTGTAAAAAAAAAAAATCATTTTAATGGACAATTTCCATAAAAAATAAAGTCAAACGAACACCAAAATGTCTAAAATTTCAACATTTTTCACGTAAAAAATTATACAAATCAAATACAATTAATTGACAATTTTCAGGAAAACAATTCTAGACAATTCAATTCCATGTAATTCATTTTCTTTCCACCAAAATTCCACTCTTACATTCAAAAGGACTCTTAGAGTAATAATTAAAAATTATTTTTTCTACTGGTTATATGTGTTTCCATTTTTCTTTTTCTTTTTTTTTTCTCTCTTTTATTTTTAATTTTTATTTTCTATGAAAATTAAAATCGCAAGTAAAGATTCTTATAAATTATTTCCTTTTTTCATCATTTTTTTTGAAAAATATCTACTTGTAATTAAAAATTATAAGAATTTGGATTAAAAAAAAATCTATAATTAAATTTAAATCAACTGATTTATTGTTTACTCTTTAAAGATACGTCATATTGATTATCATTTATTTAATTAAGATGACTTATATTTTTATTTTTTTAAAATTATGTTTTATTATATGAAGACGAAAAAGGGAAATGCCACCACCTACTTGTATGTGAGAATTTCGCACTGTTGTTCCAGACTCACATGAATAATTTTTTAAATAAAAGTTTTCAAAAATCTTTTGAATTCTAAAAAAAAATTATAAAAATTTTAAAATGAAAGTCTATAAGAGTCTACTAAAAACTTTTATTAATTTCATACAAATCCATAAAAGGTCCACCAAATTCATAGAAATCATAACTTCAAAAATTCCATAAAAATTTTCAAAAAATCCCAATTAAATACACCACCTTAACTGAAAGTAAATTTCAAGCTTATTCAATGAATATACTTGATTTTGGCGGACATGAAAAGTGAAGGGCTCTGTACTGGGCTCTGATTAAGTGATAGACAAGGCTACAAGTCTGGAACTTATTCTGAACTTGTCTCAACACTGTCCACTGACATTCCACCTCCAAGAGATGTGTAAAATGTATAGAGGCTGCCAATGATGGTTCATTTCTTGAGGAGCTTAATAACGAAATGGACTTTTCATAATAAAGCACTTACAAGAGTCCGTAATATATTGGCGTACATGGATAGGACTTTCATTCCGAACAAGGACAAAATCCCCATTCACGAGCTTGGGATAAATCTATGGAGGGACAATGTGATTCACTATAGCAATATCCAGACTAAGCTTCTGAACGCACTGGTGAAGTTATCGATAGAAGGCTGATGAGAAATGCAATTAAAATGCTAAGGGTTTTAGGACCTTCAGTGTACCAAGAAGACTTTTGAGATACCTTTTCTTGAAGTCTTAGCTACTTTATATGGAACGGAGGCTAAGGAATATATCGAGTGCAGTGAATGTGGGGACTATCTGAAGAAAGCTGAAAGACTTCTTGGACCCAACGAGCGAAGCCAAGATAACTGATGTTATAGAGAGATTATTTCCAATCACATGCTTTGGAGAACTCAGGCTTGGTAAAGATGCTTCTTGATGAAAAATATGAAGATTTGGGAAGAATGTATAGCTTATTTGCTAGGGTTCCTAGTGGTCTTTCTAGATGTATTGACTGTTGACAACTCACATCAGAAATTCTGGCGAATAACTTATTACTGATCCTGAGAAATTGAAGAACCCTGTGGAATTTGTTGACACCCTACTTGAGAAAAGGGATAAATACGATACAATCATAAGATAAGCAGTCAACAATGACGAGAGCTTTCAGAATGCATTGAACTCTTCTTTTGAATATTTCATCAATTTGAATCCTCGTTTGTCTGAGTGTATATAGTTGTTTATTGATCATAAACTGTGCGAAGGATTTGAAAGAGGAGGATGTTGAGGTAATTCTTGACAACGTGATAATGTCGTCACATTTCCTTCAGGAGAAAGAAAAAATTGAGAAATACTATAAAGAACATTCGGCAAAGCGGCTCTTGTCAGGAAACGGTTTTTGAAAATGCTGAGAGACGTCTATTGAAAATAAGGAAGGAAACCAAATTGAAACCTGCTGTACTGCAGGGAAGAAAATGATAGATTGAACATGATGATTTCATGTTGAAGATTGAAATAGAATCCAAT